TAAATCTTATACTTTGAGAAGCAAATATTTTAAAATCCCATTTTGATGGAAATAAAATAACTTGCTGATAAATGAATCCTCCAAAATACCTGGGGCTCTTTCAATATTTAGTGTGTAAAATGAACTCCATAAAAGTATTTCTTCACAAAATAGCACATAATCATTTAGTTTCTATTATTTTTTCGATATAAAGTAGCAGGTTAATATGCACTGTGTTACTTAGTTTTGTTATTCGATTTTTAATATGCTGTGTCCTCAGCCTTCATAAAAGCCTCTGGCTTTTAATAACAAACAAGCCAATCTGGTCAAAACAAGGTAAAGATACCAAGAAGTGGAAGCAGCTATTCAAAATAGTAAGCTATAAACAAGTTTACTGGATAAAAAAGGTCAACTGATAAATTGTGGAATGTGTACCTGAAACATGATTCTAAGGCGTTGAGGACTATCTAAAGTAAGCCATAACATAATATTTTTAAAAACAGTTTACCAATTTGTGAATTCTGTATATTTGATAATTTTTATTGGTTTGGTTTAATGTTCTCTGTCATATAGTAATGTTGTAAAACAGATCAAAGTCTTCAAAAATACCATCATCAAAATCATCTTGGAGCACTCCATTTGGGAACCTACTAAATCTGTATTTCTGGGCATGAAACCTGTGTCTGCATTTTAATTGAATCCCTAAATACTTCTCATGTAGCGACCTGAATCTGAAAATTATTGTATTAGCTTCTATATATTTGACTGTAGTTGCACTGCTTTTCACCAGTGCTTCTAAATTGTTCTGCCAATTAAAAGCTACCATACTGATTTTTAAAAGAAGTGGTTAGTTTCTTCCTCTTCTCCTGTGATTGTGTCTGTTAAAGTAATTAAGGGAATCTCAAATGTCTTCATGTAGATTTAAAGTTTAATAACATTACATATATGAGTGCCTAGAAAGTTACAGAATATCGATTGAATATTTATATTTCACTTACAATCATTTAGCTATGTTTATTTTAAATAGTGATCTTAATTTTAGTATTTGTGTGTAATATTTTTCATTCTGGTTGAAAATATTAATCATCTTGATCATCTCATGTATCTCCTTAGACTTTTTCTTATAGGATCACATCAGTATTGTTGAATAGGTACCAGTACTTCATTTTTCAAAGATTATTAAACCTCACAATTGTAAATGTAGTAATTCTAAGGACTGTGCCATAACTGGTGAAAGTTTTTACATATTTGAAATTTGACTGGAACAATGAACAGCATAATCCAGTAATGTTGAATTTTATAAGAAAAATATTAATTAAAAATATTAATAATTGGCCTTTTGCATATTGATTTGAATAATATTGTGGCATTTGTGTTTCTAAATATACTAAAATTTAAAATGTCAAAATTGCAGATTTCTGTGTTTTTAGCATGTTTGTATAAATGGCATGGGTTTTGGTTTCATTTCTGTTGCTCTGATAAAATAGCTGGACAAAAAGCAACTTAGGGAAGAAGTTGATTTATTTAAGATAACAGTTACAGGCTACAGTCCATCATTGTGCGGAAGTCAAGGCAGGAACTTCAAGCAGCTAGTTACATCACATCCACAGTCAAGAGCAGAAAGAACTGAACGCACAGATACTTGATTGCTTGTTTGTGCTCAGCTTATTTTCCTTTTTAGTTCAGGATCCTCTGCGTAGGCAGTAGTGCCACCCACAATGGGCTGGGTCTTCCCACCCCAATTAACTTAATTAAGAGAATCCCCCACAGGCATGGCCACAGACCAACCCAATGCAGACAGTCTGTCACTGAGATTCTTCTCTCAGGTTATCCTAGGTTTTGACAAGTTGGCAATTAAAGCTAATCACACTTGATTTTTTTATTCATTTTTGTGTGCCTGAAACAATAGATTACTAGTTGCTCAATCAAGAGGGAAAGGCATCTATTCTATATTGTCCAATTTGATGTATATAATTTCATTAAATCATTACTAAATATATTTTGTATCTATTAGTATGTTTAAATTTAACATTGATGGAATTGGAAATATTAACATTTAATATTTCACAGTATTTTTGTAAGCTTGCATCCATTGCACTATTGTCCTCTTACATGCCCAGATTGTCCCATCTTTAGGAAGTAGGGATCTCTTCATGTTGACTCCTAGAACATTAGTGGTTTTAAGTAGCTTCCTTGTATGTTACATCACAGTATAGTCCAATCTTATTTTACATTTCTTATCCCTAATCTGGAACTGGCCATTTTCCAAGAAGGCCCAGGAAATGGCACTATCAAGACACAAAACAGGGCCTGGAGAGTTGGCTCAGCAGCTAAGAGCACTGGCTGCTCTTGCAGAGGACTGGGGTTCAAATCCCCGAACCCACATGACAGCTAACTCTCCCTAACTCCAGTTCCAGGGGAACCCAACACCCTCTCTGGCTTCCATGGACATTGCACGACATGGGTGCACTTATGTACATGCAGGCAATACCTTCAGACACATAAAATCAAAATAATAAATAAAATATTTTTGAAGACCACGGAACAGGGAGAAGTTAATTATCACTAGATTGATCTTTGTTAGTATGCCTTTTCAGAAAGAAAATAAATATTTGGGCTGGAAAGATGGTTCAGTGGTTAAGAACACTGAATGCTCTTGTACAGGACTGGGGTTCAAATCCCAGCACCCATATGACAGCTAACAACCATCCGTAACTCCACTTGCAAGGGAGCCAACAGCCTCTTCTGACCTCCAAAGGCATTGCACGACACAGTGAACTTACATACATGCAGGCAGTATACTCACATACATAAAATAAAAATAATAACTAAATTTTTTTAAAAGAAATATGTGTGTACTTATACATAAATGCACATATACATAAACTATCAAGAGACTATAAAATTCTGTTTTACTTCTTTAGTCATATCTGTGCATCCACTTTCTCCCATGCTAAAAAAATGTATCAATGATACAAAGAGTAATAGAATGACACTTGCATAATTTTTTGTTAAATTTTCATAAAGCACATAGGACAGATTTAGCACAATAATACAAATACTGCTTCTAATGAGAAGTGGTTTCTGAAAAAAGTTTTGATATTATTTTAATATTTCTTTGTGTTATTTCAAACTATACATGATAGTAAATTATTGTATTTTGAGGAGATCAGAAGTGGTTTCTGTATGATTATTATGCCACTACTATGGTATATGTTTAGATTATATTTACTTTTTTATCCTAAGGAGAATCTATTTGAAGTATGAATATTTAATTATATCCTCTGATTCTGTGAAGGTAGACAAATAAAAACCTTACATACATTACAGCTGAAGCAAGATATCAAAGCAGCATGGAAAATCTGGGCAGCTTCCCAGCTTTTCCGAAATCATTGTGTTTGAAATTAATTTCTGTAAAATTTAATTCTTCTAAATTCAGACATAATTACAAGTGCACTTTCCTTATATAAATATCTTATCTTTACCTTGGCTTCTCTGTATGCATAATTCATAATTAGGTCTTAGGTGTTGACTTCCTGTAAATATATACAGATATAGATATGACTGTAGACATTTTGTTTCTTTAGAACTTGAAACTCAGTATAAGTATTACCCTTAGATTCTGAAATGAATCAGACCTCAATTTTACTTATAAAATCTTGCCCAAATATGCCAGGCATGGAAGCATATGCATTTAATTACAGCTACTTAGAAAGTTGGGGGAAAAGAGAACAAGTGTAAGGCCAGGCTGGGCAACATAATAAGGTCCTATAAAAATGTCCCTGACTAATTCGTGCCTCTAATAAGAATATGTACTTCTCTAAACAAAGCATTATACTTAAATAGTATTATTTTTTTAATTGATATTCCTTTTGTTAAAATTTATTGTAGAGAAAATACAAAAATCCTTAAAATATAATACAGTAGAATATGAATTTTTTGAAAATGTTCCAATTAAGTCTTAATATTTTATACATATAGTAAGTTTTAAAAATTAAAATAACAATGCAGAACAAGAGTAATTTTTACTCCATATATATCCGTCTTTGTGCGAGACAGTTTATTTTCCCACCTAATTCTAGATGACTTTTAACAAAAGATTTATTTTTATTTTATGTGTATGAGTGTTCTTCCTGCTTGTCTTTATGTGCACCGTGTTTGTGCAGTGCCCGAGGAGATCAGATAAGGGTATCTGATTCCCTGAAACTAGAGTTACAGATGGTTGTGAGTTGCCATGTGGGTGCTGGAACCGAACTTGGGTCCTCTATAATTTGATGTAGCAAGTACTCTTAAACACTAAGCCATCTCTCCAGCTCCTTCTCACATCACTTGTATTGGGTTACTTCTGACACCAAGCATGTCCATGCCTAGTTTATAAATTTCTTAAGGAAACTGAGAGATATTAAGTCTCTAAGCAAAGATCATGTCTTTTATATTGTGGCTTATTGTTTAACAAACAGTTGCAGGTAAAACATGTATGGTTCTTAATTTTTTATAATTTCAGAGATTCAGATCTAAGTAAACACTATGAACGTGTGTCAATTTTAAATATGTAGTATAAAGTGGATTTGATAGCTTGCAGTACTTGAAAGTATAAAAATAAAAGATTTTGATTTGACTGTTGAAATAAATTTCAATGTTTTCTTAATGGTCTAACATAACATAAAATCAGTGTTTAAAACGTTGGACATATCGCAGCAAATTCACCTATTACAGGTCAAAGTTTAAGATAGAAAATGATTCTAATAATTTTTCAGTATGCTTCAACATGTAACCTTAGTGTATATTATCCTGTATTATGTGATTAAAATTTAGTCAAATTAGAAAATATATTTAAGAAAAAACAACTGACTATCAAAGCTTAACACTACTAATCCTTTGGTTATTAGCACTCCGGATTTTCCCATTCTTATTTCAGATTTTACTTGCAATGTCAGTTGGATCTTGCAGCAATTCCAGACAACATACTTAAAAGGAATGTTAGATTTTTTTTGATCATAGTATTTTTTTTCTTTTTTCAGGATTGTACTGTATATGAAACAGAGAATAAAATTCTTCATGTGGTAAGTATACTTGGAAATATTTTATCTTCATCCAACAATACTTATTTAGTAATCAAAATGTTATAGATTACAAAAAATAAGCCATAAGAAAAAAAACTACTTGACTATTTTAGTTAAAGGGTATTTTTAGGACACCTACAAAAGAATCAAAATGTGTTGGTTATACCCATCCTATCTTATCCAATGGAAAATATGATCTAGTAGTTCAAGATTATATTGAGGCAAGATTTGAGTAAAATAAGATAATCCAGAAAAATATAATTGTAAATATGATTTTTCACTGTCCATCTCTGACAAAAAGATCAGAGAAAGACACACTCGTGTATAAAGGAGTAATTCACTTCTATATTCATTTGGATGAAATATTTCCTAAGAAAATCAAACTTTCTTGCTCAGATTTCATACTCAAGAAACAAACTTCTAACTGGTAATTTGGCAATATGTGTTGAATCAATTATTGGCTTTGCTGATTTTTTAATATGTACTTATTTTGTGTGTGTTGGGGGGATACATACATGTCACAGCATGCATATACAGGTCAGTGGACAACTTTCATCTGGCTGGACCTTTTATTGCTAGAAGTGAGGTATAGGTACATTATACTTCGTGGAAAACTATCTCTTTTATTGCTAGTGAACAGCTTGCTTCCTTTTGTTTAAATCTACTTTTTAAATTTTATTTCTTGTGAATTTCATACAATACATTTTGAACATATTTAGATTCCCTTCTGTGTCTAACCTCTGCACCAAATTTCTGTACTCTCCCACACTGAAGGAGAAATCTACTTTATACTTTATTTTTGAGATTTTCATACCATATATTTTGATGATACTTAGATCCCCTCCCCTATCTCCCACAGCACCCACCCAATTTGACGTACTGTTATACACACACACACACACACACACACACACACACACCTATATACACACATATATAAGTATGTAAATAAATAAAGCCTGTAGAGTCAGATTTGTGTCCCTAAATATCCTTCACTGTAGGCTCATTCACTGGACCCATCCAGAGTTCCATCCCTGTAAAACACTGTCTCTCCCCCTCCTAGCAGTCATCAGTTTCCAATTGATTTGGTTGGTTCCAATGTGTCTTAATACTTTCTTCACCTCTGGTAAGAGAACATGGCACTTCTTCAGTTATCAGGTAGTAGTTAATGAAGATCCATATGTCTTGGCTGTTTTGTTTTTACATTAAGTTCATGCCTGTAGGAGTTTTTAATTGGTTGAATAACCATTAAACGATAGTGTTTTGTTTCTCGAAAATGAGACATTTATGAAATGTCTTACATAAACTTATAGTGGGTAGCATTAATTCAGAATGTCAGCAATACTGAGTTAATGTTCTTCCCTTCATTATGAAATAGTGGTGACCTATGTTATTTATTAAGGTGATCTCAGGAATGAACAATTAGTGTACTCTACTCCTTACTATTCTAAGAAGAAAAATAATTACCTCTAACTCCCTTTAGATCCAACGATCACTCTAGAGAATAAAAAAGCAATAATATTTATTTGGGGTCTATATATTATAAGCATTAATTTAGATCCTATAAATATATTACAGGTTGAATAGCAATTCACAAATTCATCCAAAATGTGAAACTGTTTTGTATTTGTGTGTGTGTGTGTGTGTGTGTGTGTGTGTGTGTGTGTGTACATGCTCATGCACACAAATGGACCATGGGACATATGTGAAGTTCAGAGAACATCCTGTGGAAATCTTTTTTCTCCTTCGACCATGTGGATTGGGCTCTGGAAATCAAATTCAGCTCATAAGGCTTGTCAGCAAATGTCTTTACCCTTTGAGATATCTCATTAGCCCCCTAATTTGAAACCGGTGGAAAATTTCATACCTGACATCCAATGATAGGCTGCAATCAAAACTCAGGCATGACACAACTAATTCAACATCTCCAAGGAAAATATGATTCACTCAGACCCTTTTAGTGCTGATACATCTTTTTCATGTGTCCCCTGCAACTATACTTACAAAGTGTAACGAAATGGCATGTGTGCAGGCCAATAGTAGGTTCCTCATGAGACATGTGCACATTACTTATTTTAGCATGTTTATTTATTTGATGTTGCTTATTCCCTGGGCTATGATAGGAAGATGCTGCTGAAAATCCCCCAAAATAAAGCCTGTAGATACAGGTACCAGTGGAAAAAAATTTCTGTTCATCTTCAATGTAGAATATTAAGCTGTTGGAAAAAACTGGACAGCATTGTAAGTATGAAACTTCTTACAGCAGTGTGTGGTATTGGAATGAGCACCATATATGACTTGAAGAAACAGGAGGATGAACTGCTGAAGTATTGTGCTAGACGTTAATGAAAAATACAAAAATACTCCATAAAAAATGAAGATCTCGAGTTTGTATTTAATTAGTGGACCTATCAGCACTACAATTAACACATTCCACTTAATGTTGTTCTGATCATGACGAAACAAGAACAAATCTGCCACAATGAACTGAAACTTAAAGAGAACTGTGAGTATTCAGTAGGATAGCTGCATAAATTTAATAAAAGACACAACATGAAAGTTTTAAAAATTTGTCGAAATATGGTATAAAATCGCTATCAGGCTACATATCTAAGATAGATGATAGATAGATGATGATAGATGACAGATTAGATAGATAGATAGATAGATAGATAGATGATAGATAGATAATAGATAGGTAGAGATAGGTAGATATAGATAAAATTTAATGAGCTGGGCATGGTGACGCACGCCTTTAATTCCAGCACACGGGAGGCAGAGGCAGGCAGATCTTTGTGAGTTTGAGGCCAGCCTGCTCTACATAGAAAGTTCCAGGCCAGCTGGGATTACAGGGAAACCCTGTCTCAAAAAGACCAAAAAATAAATAAATAAATAAATAAATATAATGAATTTTATGTTTAGAGTTGGATCCCATTTCCAAGTTGTCTCACTGTGTATACAAATATTCCACAATAAAAATGCATAATCAAAACACTTTGTGCTCCAAAGTATTTTAGATAAAGATACCCAACTTATATCTCATTTACTGATAATTTTGCAGTTGGTGAAACCATGAATTACAAATATTAAACTAGTTGAGTGCTGAATTGGAATACAGATCTGACACCCAAGTCCATGCCCTTTCTAGATTTAATAGTTGCTACCAATCCTAGTTCACTGAGATTTTGTGAAGTGTACTGTTTTGTTTCCTGTGGAACTCAGGTCTCCTAATTAGTTTTGCCTGTTGTTTCAATAACTAAAGAAAACGAGCAGACCCTTTCAGTCCAGCATTTTATTTCCTTTGAATGACTGTTTTGTCGGCTTTGAATTTTCTGCAACAATGACTGTTGCTCCTGAAGTATTGAATTTACTGAATTAGACTTTGACATGTTGCTGTAAGTTCTTCATTGTGTTTACTTCAAGACTTTTATTGAGGTCAGTATGTGTGTCACAATTTTCTCTTTATTATATAGTTTCTCAGGAATAATCTCTTTTCTATGATTGGTATTTAAAAAAACCCTGTAATTCCCTCTCTGTGTTGGGTGCTAGAAACAGATTAATCTGATAAATGGAATAATAGGTCCAAAGACAATAAATGCATATTTGTAATCAGCATTCAATGTTCAATTAACAAAGTTTAAGTAGGAATATTATGAAATTTCTCTGCTATGAAAGTCTTAAATATAATTTTGATTAGTTATGCTAATGAAATAAGTTCTTTCAGATTATAAAATATTTGAAATTTTATAAAACTAAAATAAATGCTAAATATTTATATTTTAAAGTAATTTTAAATATTCTAATTGCATTTAAATTTTTAAAGATTTTTTTATTTCTTAAGTAAAGTACTAATGATTAATTTAGTAATAAGTTGACACCTCACTTCTCTTTCTCATGAGCTACTTGCTATTGCAAATGAGTGACAAAACAATATTTCAAACTGTAGAAATCAGTGCAATATGTTTACTTTGGAAAATGCTGCATTCTAGCTCATGAGAATTTTAGCATCTTGTCTGGTGATGATGGAAACGGTGGACGACATTAATCAGTCAATTCAGCTCACTGTGGTTATATGTCATGCTAGCATTCTGCTTCCCACCCTGGCTTCTTTATGCAAAGATTTTCCAGCCTCCACTAGAAGACTGTTCAAAAACAAAACTCTCTTGAACTTTTTCATGGAGCATTCGGAAGAAAAATTCATAGGCCTCTTAAATAGCAATTTCAATTTTACAGTACTTTAGATTATGTATAATATCCTTCCTGATCTGATTGAAACTAATATTTACATAAGTAACAAAATAAAATTTCAAATGCTGCATGTAGTGTAATAATTGTTAAAAAAAACTAAGAATATTTATGCTGGAGAAAATAATTTGAATGATGCATGCAGTAGACTAGATCTCTTATTTTGTCTTAACAGTTGTCAAGAGGAAGGAGAAATGATCATTTAGGAAAAGTTGCTAACCCTCGGGATTCTACAAAGAAATACAAGTATTGCAGCACTATTTAGAAACTGGGAAAAGTTAGAGAGCTGAAGAAAGTTGGGAGATGTTATGTCTTTTCCTAAATTAAGTCAATATATAAGCATTAGTAAAGAAAAAGAACAAAAAGAGAAGAGGAAAATCATCTAGTATATTACAATATTAAAATAACCCTGCCTCAAAGGTAGGCATATTAAAAATATTTAATGTTCTTAGTAAGAGTCAAAAGAACATTACTTCTTTTTAAAAGGATATCATATTATAAAGAAGGTAGGTCCATTGTAGACTACAAGCTAAGTGAAATAAGAAAATCCTTGTATAAAATTAACAGCAGAAAAATCAAAGTGAAACCACACTAAAAGAAATTAAAAAACAGACTGGATATTAAAGAAAATATGAAAGTAAGACACATGATGGACTTTAATAACATAGTACTGAGATGTTTATAAATTAAGAAAAAGGAAAATTTGGAGGAAAAAAGGCTTTAGAGAATAGATTATGGTTAATTCATCATCAATT